CTCTGTTTTCTGGTTTTCTCATCTTCTGTATCTATTTTTGCTGCTTTGTTCTTTTTTTCTCTCTTTTCATTCACTCTTTCCTCTCTCTATTTCTCTCTCTCCCCGTAGTTATTACCCCTTTCTCTCTTTTTAACCTCCCTTTCCGTGTCCATTGTATACGATTTTACTCCCCAAATAATGACTAAGACTTACAAAACTTTTATTGTCATTTTGTATACGCAGAGGGTATACAAAATTAAGTTTTCTGCAGCTTTCTGACAGTAAACGAGCAGCAGCTTAGTGGTGAAAATAACATTTCCACTTCATAAGGTGCAGCTGTGATGAAATGTAAACAGTGGTAGAAAAAAACATGGTGCAAAGCGCATTGATATGGAAGGTCAGAGTTTAAATCTGAGCAGTCGGAAAACTTTTTTTTGAGTTGAGTTCTTTTTAACAAGCTGTGATCGCATGCACAGAGAGTGGACTTTCTGCAGATGAGAAGGATCCAAAGTTATGCTGTTCCTGCAGCTTGAGGCGCGTTCCTCAGATGAGCTGTAGCGTTCTGCTGCTGCCTGATGGATGGAAGAGATCATTTAGGTTCTGTGTTTCCTTGTCTCAATCTGCAGTGCAGTGAGCCTCATGTATAGCAGCTTGATAAACTCTATAGATGCATTTTGTGCTCAAATCCAAAGATGTTACAGAAATCTATAAATGGGATCAATTGTGACTAGAGCAGGTATGGAAAGCCAAAACTGTGACATAGTTAATTAATAAGTGGCAAGATTTCTGTTCTTAGATGTAAAAATGTCAATGCTTCGTGCAAAGCAAGCACTGAGTAAACATTAATCATTTTATCCTGAATAATTATTTAACTAATTATATATTTTCTTGCCTCCAGGAAAGGTAGCTTGAAAGATTAACATTTGAATGGATGGATGAATATTTGGTCCTGGGCTCAGCCATGGCTCTTAGTTGGTTGTTTGTGCAGAACTCTTCTTTTTTCCTTTCTTTCTTTTTTAACGTTGCATTATGTTTTTTGTTTACAACGGTAAAACACAAAATCTTACATCCTGTAACGACTGTCTGAAATTTCATCAGAAAGAAAGGAAAAAAGAAAGTAAGAAAACCCTTTAATAAGCTGTCCCTTTTCTCATTAGGGAGCAGCACGCCGGTGCTTTCGCTGAAAAATGGCAAAATCCGAGGTGAATATGTCACAGTAAAAGGCACAGAGAGGAGGGTGAGGCAATACCTGGGGATCCCCTTCGCTCTGCCCCCCGTAGGGCCCCTCCGCCTGGCTGCTCCACAAAGTCCTGAGTCCTGGGAGGGGGAGAGAGACTGCACACACCAGCCCCCCATGTAATTCTCCTGTGTTTTAATAAACATAAATACAGTAGAGTGAATTTTGAGGGAACTCCGAATGCTGCACTTGTTCATATCTGCTTCTTTGTCTCCATTTATTCCCAGGTGCATTCAGGATCCAGAGTTAGTTGTACAAGTTTCCAGAATCATGTCGCTGGATTTCACTCCCCCAGAGCTCTCAGAGGACTGTCTTTATCTAAATGTCTACACACCAGCTGACACGCCAGAACAAAAGCTGCCTGTGAGTTTATCAGATTGCAGCAGGTACAGTAGAAAGTAGAAATGAAGTCTCTAGTTTCAAAGTAAAATACCAGCGCTACAGCTGTAAGACAGATTTTCAATGGCTTCAGTTCTGAAGTAACAGAAATAAAATGAAAAAGTCTGCAAAAATGGTAAAATAATGAATTCAATGAATTCCAAATTGTTCCACTGGGCCAATGACTGGGCTACATTTCCTTTCCCTGAACAAGCATATGGCGACTGTGAAGAGAAACAACTCGTGATAACGGGAAGAAACATCAAGCTGAATAAGGCTTTCCATGAACACTTGTTTTATTTAGAAGAGGGAGGCCTGAGTGGGTAATAATTAGAAACCAAAAAAATCAAGAGGCACTGAACCAGAAGTATTTTCTTTTTGAAAGAACGACATTTCAGTATTCAAGGTTAATATCAGCAATATCTATGTCAGTAACCATTTCACATATAAAAACAGAAAGGAATTAAGCAACAAGTACTTTCAATTAATGAGTATATTTTATGGGGAAGAAAAAGAAGAATATAAAGAGTTATTGGTAGGAAGACGTCGGTCACTGCTCCATTCAGCAAATAGACGGGGCTAAACATAAAAACCCTGACAGGCCAGAAGGTTCTATATTAAAATGTCCAAAAAAAGAGAAGCAGTTAAACACAAAACAAACTGAGCAATAAGTGCTTTCTATGGGGAATAAAAGAGAGAGTTCATATAGTTATTGGTTAAAAGGTCCTCTTTCACGGATTCCATTCAGCAAAGAGACATGGCTAAACACAGAAATACTGCATCAGGAACACTTTGAATGAACAGCTAACAAATATATAAAGTTAACTGCAGGAATAACTTTGTTCATTTTAGGGTAGATACTCAGATGAACGCAGAGACGATGAATATGGAGGATTTTCTAATGTGTTCAAAATGCAATTACAGCAAATTTTACAAATCATCTAATTGTTGCTGCTCGCTTGACATTTCACCAACAGTTTGCATGGCCAGTGGGGGCAAAACCAAACAGGAGGAGCTTCGATATGTTTGCCTGTTTTCAATTCAACTCAATATTGCAGACCTGGATATTACTGATCACGGTGCTGTAGTGAATGAGAAAAGCCAAACAACGGCGCCGCCATCCCTGGGTCCTGAAGCTATCGCCTTTAACAGTGCTTATGTTTGGCCAGGATATAAATTGTAATCCTGCATTTGGGGAGGCGCTAGAGCTCAGACAGGACTATCATCAGCACAGAGCAAGAACCTGGGAGGAGAGAGCACCAGAGCCGGGCCAGGATGGGGCACACACTGGAGCTCCAAAAGGATGAACAGTGAATGATTTCACAGACTTTCTAAGGGCTACATTAAAGCAGATTTTTTGAAATCTACCCACAAAACTCTAAAAGGCATTCCCGACTTTATTACCAAAAAAAAGGATATTTTCTGTCTTCTGTTTGGGTTGCAAAAAGCTTCATGTCCTTTACCCTAAATCACAGCATCATCCAGTCCTTTCTTGGTTGCCACGACTCAATCCTAACAGGTCATCTTTTTTTTTCTTTTTTTTGGTCCCCGTGGGGGCCCCCCCCCCCCCGCCCCCGGGGTTTCTCCCCCCCCCGTTTTTTTTTTTG